TCAAACTTGCACTGCAAATAAAACAGTTTTGCCTTCCTCAGAACAGAACTACACACTATGACAGTAAATTACTTTACTGGCTCTCAGAGGAACACAGTAAATAACTCCCAATCATCTTAAGCTTTGCATACAAGATGGACAGCTTTCTACTCACTAGTAGCAATTTTCTCTAATTGAGCATCAAGTTGTCTCAGTAGCCAAAAATTTGCTGTTTACCAAACCTCTAGTCTCAGCAGAGCTCCCAGGATCCTAAACCAGAGAGCCAATGTTTAAGTTAGCAGACATTTTCAGGCCTGGAATGAGCCATGAAAAACCGCTATTTCAACAACTTATTCAATTTTCTTTCCAATGCTTTATACACTGAGCCATTATTGTATGGAAACCATGAAAGCTCTGGTTTCTTCTAATGCGGCAACTGTATGCTGAGCCAGAAACTAGCTAATCTAGAAAATACGGAGTTGGGAATGAAGGGAACAAGAGACCACTTGGAGTGGCCACATTTGGATCGTTCTTCTGAGACTTATCACCTCTTAGCTATTTGTGTCAGGCTACAAGTTTCAAGTATTAATTTTGTTTTTCTTTTTCAGGCCCAACTGGAAGGCATTATTGCACCAAAGAAGTGATAATTTCCATATGCGTTTCAGCAAATACTACTATCCCATCATGAGCCTTTTGTAATAAAACGCTAGTTTCCTGAGTGAACAAGCCATATCCTCCCCTCATCACCACCTATGTGTTTTTCAGAAGTCACGCTATTGCCCAGTGTCATCAAACACTTAAGGTCTGCCAGTCAGGCTCCTGGCTGTGCAGTGGAAGGTGGTGGTGCTCTGACAGTCTCAGTACAGGGCTTGTTAGCCAAACTTATGATCTGTCAACTCAAATAGTAACTGAGAAAGCACTAGCTTTCTCATCATCACTCTGCATTGCTTTTTTCTGGCCAAATGAAGCTGCTTCTCTGACCCTCAAACTTTTAATTCACAATTCGTCTTGTACCTTAACTTGGGCTTCTCTGGCCTCAGTCCTTATTTCATGATTCTTCATTTCTACTAGAATGGATTTCTAGTTACTCATTTTGGAGCTTTGGTTTTATACTGTTTTATTCCCACTTGCTAAGTCAACTGGACTCTTTCCTACTTAGTGTCAGACTGCCTAAGTTAGGAAACAATAGCAGAGTCAAACCCATGGCTTTGCAGAAAGTAATGTCTGCTGGAAAAGCAAGTCAGCTTATAACTCAGCTCTACCACCGCCAGATGTGATTTGTTCACTTTATTCTACCTTGAGTCTACATCCCCTCCATTAGCTCTATTTAATTATCAACTGGAGAGGTAACCAAATCTCACTTGTACTTCTAATTACTAATGATCAGACTATGGTGTGTAGAGAACTACATTTTACTATTTCTTTTATTAAACTCTTCTGGTTTTATAGATCCAGAAAATTGAGTTAGTGGTCTAAACCTAGCTAAGGTAGCATGACATGTGTCTTCCATCATTCAGTGAAGGTGCAGAAGTAAAATTACCTAAAGAAGGCACTAACATGCCCAGTATTCCCCTGAAGAGGTGTGAGAGGAGACTCACTTCTTAGCAGAGCTTTGACCTGCCATCCACCCTGGCAGGACTTTGAGGCTCACTGGAAGAACTAGTGGCCAAGGAAGAGCTGTTTCCCTGAGCCTTGTGTGCCCAGTATGCTCTAGTTTCCAGTTTCAAGTCACAGCTTTCATGCTGCTACAGTGTCCTGAGGAATTGTTAAGTTCCATTAAAATGACCTGTCCATGCTGCCACTTCCTGGGGAAAGAACTCTGTCCACTGGGATCTGCTAGTTCCAGGACTCTAAGACAGTAATGCACCTGTGTCCTCCACTTCAGACTCAATGAGCAACTTTAGCGGCTGTTGCCTTTCCCTCCAATTTTAAGGCCCAGGCTATGTATGTTACCACCCTTGAGATTTCTTTTTACAGTTTCATATGCTTCTGTTCCAATTTGCTAATTACCAGCACAGAAGAAATACCACTTTACAATTTGTAGACTTTGTCCCCTATTTTGTCAGATACTTTTACAAGGTTACTCTCTGGAGAGACTAAGAGAGCTAATCCAACCACCTGAAGTACCAATGGACTCAATCAGTGAAATCTTTAAGGGTGAGAAACTCTGATCTCTACTTTCACTAGCACTGTAGAATGGCTTCACACGTCAAACCTCAGAACAAATGCATAATGGCCTGAGAAATGCAAACGCATAGGAAGAAAGCACAATTTCTAATTGCATTCTTTTGTATAATTTAATAAACTTTTTAAATGTTACTACTTATGTCTGAACTTTTTGTGTTTGTGTTTCTGTCCCTCTGAGTCATTGGTCTTCTTTTTGTTCCTATTCCTATTCTTCACATTGTGTGTTTCATAGTAACGCACACCAACTTTTTTGGACTGCTGCTGCCGTGCTGCTCGCCTCCGCTGTAAAAGATGGCGGGGAAAAAGAAAGGTGAGGGAGAGAGACTTTAAATCGGACACTGAAAATCGTGTAACAGGAGCCTCACTGTGCTCCACTGCCCAAGCTGCCTCCACAGCTACTGGAAGCACAGCTAGCGAGAAGGATAGCTAACCTCACAGATCTCCATTTACCCTTCTGCTATGACTTGTGACAACTCCCACTTACAGATTCTCATTTGGGCCCAGCCTCAACCGGTGCCCTGAATCCTTTCTATGCAAGTGGTCCCCTGCAGTAAGGCTGAACACTGCTGATAACTATACCTCTGCCCAGAGGGCCCGCTCTAGCTCTTAACACCCCAGCTCCAAAACTATCTTTCCCGGAGGCTGAGATCTATCTTCCTAACTTGCGCTGCTTATCGTGTATCACTTCCCTGGGGCCACACAAAACAAACCACTCTTCTAAATAATAAGCCATAGGCTTGAGAACAGTGATCAAGAACTCATGGACCTTGACCAAACAGGTTACCACCTCTTCACTGTATTTCTTTCCTTTTTTTTTGAGACAGAGTCTCAAGCTGTTGTCCTGGGTAGAGTGCCGTGGCGTCACAGCAACCTCAAACTCTTGGGCTTAAGCGATTCTCTTGCCTCAGCCTCCCAAATAGCTGGGACTACAGGAGCCCACCACAACATCCAGCTATTTTCACCATATTTCTGACCTCAGGTCACTGAGGACTGGAACATTAGGCTCTAGCCCATTTGTTTTAGAGAGTGGGTCTTGGGAGTTAAACAGATTGCTCTCTACCTTCTCTGAGTCACATTTAAGACCCCAAACACTCACCTCCTTTGATGTCAGTGTCCTGGGGGTTTTATGTGAATGCTCCTCCTCCCTCGGTGCCTTCCGCTTTCTTCCCTTTTTGGCAGGTACTGGATACAAACAATACACAATCACACATACAAAAACCCAGAAATTTTCTATTCAAAATTTGTGAACCCAACATGATGGGAACAAGCTTTATGTGTTGGAAGGAGGGTAAAGGTTGCTGTAGATGGAGCAGGTGAGCAGAGTGCAGAGTACAGGCTTAGGCAGGATGGCCCAGGCTAGGAAGGCCCTCAGAAGCCTCTAAACCAGGCGTCCTCCAACTGTGGCCTGCAGGCCACATGCAGCCTACCTAAGACATGTATCCAGCCAGCCGGGTGTTTTTGCCGCTGCTGCCTGTCCTGCTTAGCAGCTGACTCATCCCAGGGCCTGCAGTCCGGACCTCCAACGGTCTGAGGGACAATGAACTGGCCCCCTGTTTAAAAAGTTTGAGGATCCCTGCTCTAAACACACTCAATACAGATGTGGACAGCAAAAGGGAATAAAGAATAAATGTGTGACCCACACCGCCCCCTCATCTGTCTATAGACCCATCCTTGAATTCTAAGGTTACTTATGTACCCTTTTAAAGAAGCAGTTTCCCGAACTGCCAATTTCATTCTAAGAAATGTGCAGAATGAAAAGTGGATAATCCAATCTGTATGATAAACAGTATGTGGTAACAAGGTAATCTGTAACCTGCCAGAGATGATGAATGTGGATGTGGATGGCTACATGAGAGAGAATGTGGAGATTAAACTCAGGTTTCCCAAAGTTCTAAAGATGCAAATCACATCTAAATGATTTAAATTATCGTCACCTGTATCATCTACAGCTTCCTCAGATGTTTTTCTTTGTTCTTCACATTTTGCAAATACCTTTTCACTCAGCCCCTTGGAAATTCTGAAACAGAATAAAGTAATGAAGCTGTCCAACAGTCCTTTCAACTGTCCACATCACATGACGGAGAGACCTGCAGCAAACTCACAGCTTAAAGAACCCCCATGCCTGTTTATCTACTTATCACCAGGGGAAGCAGTGAACATCCAATAGTTTTTGTAGCTCTCCTGGACATTTCTAAAAGACTGGACAACCAAGTTTCCCATCCTTTAAGTAGTTGAATTTTACAAGTCTTTTTTTTTTTTCTTTTTTTGCAGTTTTTGGCCTGGGCAGGGTTTGAACCCACCACCTCTGGTATATGGGGCTGGCACCCTACTCCTTTGAGCCACAGGCACCACCCCTAAGTCTTTTTTTTTTTTTTGAGACAGAGTCTCACTTTGTTACTCTGAGTAGAGTGCTATTGCGTAACAGATCATAGCGACCTCAGACTCTCAGGCTGAAGTGATTCTCTTGCCTCAGCCTCCCAAATAGCTGGGACTACAGGCGCCCACCACAATGCCCGGCTATTTTTTGTTTTTAGAGATGGAGTCTCTAACTTGTGAGCTTAGGTGATCCACCCACTTTGGCCTCCCACAGTGCTAGGATTACAGGCATGCGCCACCATGCCAGGCCTTACAAATAACTTTTTTAAAATGGCAATAACAACAGGGCATGATGTTGTGTGCCTGTAGTCCCCAATACTCAGCAATCTTAGGCAGGAGGATCACTTAAGCCCAGGAGTTCAAGACCAGCCTGGGCAACACAGAATTACCCCATCTCAGAAAAACCAAAGACAAACAACAAAACAGAATAGAAAAGAACAAGCCCACAATAAAATGGCAATAACACCCCTCACCCCCATAAATAAACTGCTCTAGTACAGCAAGTTTCTGGGAATAAACAAAGTATAATACAATTCATTAGAAGATGAAAATATTACCTGATTGCTGAAAACCTTTTAGCTTTGGCTTTGTCTAAAAACTTCTGATATTTAGCAATCTTTTCATCCAGCACTTTAATAACTGCTTTGGTGTTATTTTCCACATGTTCCTCTTGGGACTCCTGGTAAGGTTCTTCCTCACTGTCTCCTTGTTGCCCTTGTTCCTCCTCCTCCTCCTCCTCCTCTTCAGCAGAAAAGCTTTCAAGCTCTTCCTCAAGATCTGACATCTCCACAGGAACCAGGTCATCCCCAGAGAACTGAGGCACCACATTGATTTTGCCAAAGTTCTGCCGAACCCGTGCAAGAATCTGCTGCATCTCGGAGTTGGCGTCACATTGACTGTCTTCTTGTTTTTCTTTCTCAATGACAGATTCAGACCCTTTACTGACAGTGTCTACAACTTCCTCTTCTGGATTTTTCTGGGTTGTTTCTGGGGCAACTTCTGAAGATGCAGAGGGTGGATGCTACTGAGGCCAAAAGAGGTGGAAGCAGGATAGGAGAGAGAAAAGTAATCAGAAAAATGAAAACTGAATTTCTGGGCAGCACTTGTGGCTCAGTGGGAAGGGTGTCAGCCCCATATACCAAGAGTGGCAGGTTCCAACCTTGCCCCCGGCCAAATTGCAAAAAAAAAAAAAAAAAAAAAAGCCGGGCACTATGGCAAATGCCTGTAGTCCAAGCTACTCAGCTGAGGCAAGAATATTGCCTAAGCCCAGGAGTTGAAGGTTGCTGTGAGCTGTGATGCCACAGCACTCTACCAAGGGCAATAAAGTAAGACTCTGTCTCTACAAAAAAAAAAACTGAATTTCTCAACTTATACCTTGCTCTCAAATGAGGTAATACTCTTTTTAAGACTAAGGCAAAGTACTAAAAACACCCAAATGTGAATCACATCATTAATCTATTTTAAACCAATGTACATTCAACCCAGAAACTAATGTTAAAGGATCAAGAGAATATACACCTGCAGTTCCAAAGGATGAACCAACTAAAAACAATTTAAACCGCTAAAACCAATCAACAATTTACCATACAAGTAAGATTCCCTAATCTTCCTTGAATATTGTCGGGAATAGGGGCTATTGAGAGGAGGACATATAAAATTAACACACATAACAGAAAAACGAAAGCCATGCCAAATGGTAAGTACCAGAACAGCACTCGCTTAGAACGCGTCAGGTACTCAGGAGAGGCATTTGAGGTCGTATGGTGTGAACATGTAACAAAATTCATGTGTTGGAAACTTAACCTTCAATGCAACGGTGTTGGAAAGTAGGGCCTAACAAGAGGAGAGAGTAAATGGTGAGGACTCTGCCCTCATGGACGGATTAATGCTATCTGGAAGTGGGTTAGTTGCTGCAAGAGTGAGTCTGTTATGAAAGCAAGCCCTTTCACCTTCTGCCATGGCATGACACAGTGTGAAGGCCCCTATCAGATGCTGGTGCCATGCTCTTGGGTGTCCCAGCCTGTGTCACTGTGAGCCAAATAAACTTCTGTTCATTTCCAAATACCTAGTCCGTGGTGATGTTATGGCAGCCCAAAGCAGACTCAGACAGGAGGCAACTTGAAGACAGACTGTAACTCAAGGGGTATTTTGAGAGTGAGGAAAGTTCATAATGAGTACTGAGCTTGGGGACATGAACATCTAAAATGACTGGCCTGTTTTAGGCAGCAGTGCAAAGATAAGCACGTGCCAAGCTCTCTACCGTTGCTTCACATATATAGTATCATTTTATCCTTGCAAATGAGACTCACGGAACTTAAGTGATTTTCCAAAGTCAACAGTAGTCAGGTAAAGTGGTAAATATGTCAGAGATCTACAAAATTCAGGAAATGGTATACAAAATTTATATGTACATTTGTAAATTGTGTCTAGTGAGGCAATTTTTAGATTTCAGGATTCTCACAAAAAAAAGAAAAAGAAAAGAAAAGAAGAAGGTCATAGGATTTAGGGGACACAACAGTTTTGGGGAATTGCTGAACTAATTATTTAAACTTATTGAGCAGATCAGAACAAAGACTGCTCATATAAAAACAAACAAAAAAACATTTTGGGGTATGGACTAGATATGGACGAAGGGGTAAAGATAATTCAGGTGTTTCCAAGGTCACGAGACAGCAGTGATAGTATCCAGACATCCAGAATGATCCTGGGGACAGACAGATGGCTCTCCAAAGAAAACCCCTCCAACGGCTTCCCATCACACCACCCTCCCCTTGCCCACTGTTCAAGCCACTGTACCTCCTCCCATCCTCTGCACACGCCAAGCACACTCCTGCCTCTGGAATGTCTCCCAAGACACTTGTAGGGCTCTTGCCTCTTTTCATTCTGCTAAAATGCCACTTCCTCAGAGCCCTTCTTTGTTTACCTCTCACACTAAGGTAGGTAGGTACTCCTGGGTCTGCCTCAAACCCCTCACCTGGTTCAGTTTCCTTCGAAGCACACAGTACTCCCTAATATTACATAATTATCTGTAAAGGGTGGCAAAAAAATGAATATACATTTTAAGAAAAGAAAAATCTGTATTAAAGTAGTAATATTACTGTTTGTTGCCTCATATATCTTATATCTCTTAAAATTGCAGAAGTCAAACCTGAGTATTATAATTTTAATAGTTTTTTCCTTTCTTAAACTGTACATACATTTTTTGGCACCCCCATATTTGATCTTTGCCCCCAGTTCCTGGCAAAGCTCCAAAACCCCTAGGAATTTCCTAAGGAATAGGTGTCTTTTGTTATATATAAGAAGCCCCTGAGCATCACACGGCCACCATAGTTTATGCTAATGTGGTGACTCACAGCAGCTCAAAGTGGGGGCCCCTGGTAAAGTCAGGATGGAGGATGGGTCACCACAAAGACCAAGCGCTTGTTAAGCGTTGGAGCTTTCGGCCCCACTGTGACCTCTGGGGAGGCACCAGGAGCTCAAGAGTGAGTCT